AACACCTCTTATCATGAGCTAAGATGCTGCACAGAATATTCATAGAAATTTTAAGTGTAGGTGTGAGTATATCAGCACTAGGAATACTGATAAACAGTAGTGCCTGTGTGAGGAAACTGCAAGGTCTGTCAGGCTGGAAACATTCTCATATTAGCTGAAGAAAATAAACAGAGAAGGTGAGTCTGGGAAGGTGAGTAAAAAGGAAGCCTACAAAATTGAGAAACACATCCCTGAGGTAGAGTGACCTGAAGGTAAGGAATCAAGCAAAAGCAGGCAGCAGGATTGTGAACGGCAGATGGATGGAAAAGTCAGAAACGTGGCAGAAAGAGGGAAGGAGGACATCAAGTTCTTCAGAAAATGAAGAAAGGGGTGGGGCAAGGTGAGAAGAGGAGAGAAGGAGGAAGGCCAGTTTGGCACAGGCCTAGGGGCAACAGAGACTAGGTTCTGCAACACAGAAGATTGTACATTCAGAGGTAAGCAGACAGAGGACAGTTGTTGGAGCCCCAAAAACAGAAAAGCTAAGGCAGGAAGACAAACTGGGACAAGGATGGTGGAGAGAAGAGAAGCACAGTGGGCAGCTGGCTGAGAATCCTTCCAGTAGAACTGGAAGAAGATTAGGTATGGAGAAGCCAGAAACCTTAGTAGAATGAAGGCAACTGGACATGGAGTCTCTACCCTATGAATGGCATGCAATCACAGTTTTAATTTTAAACTCCTTTTGCACTATAAATAAACCATTATTTTAATGACCAGATGCTTAAGAAAAGTTGAGTAGTATAGATGTAAAATGTGAAACTAAGAGTTTACCAGAGTAAACTCCTTGGTTCATCAGCCTGGGAGTGAGTCATGTACCTACCTGCTCCTGCCCTGCCCTTCCAAGTGAACTTTCCCAGTTTCTTAAACTAGTTTCCTGTGACATACGAACCTGGAATCTTTGGATTAAGGGATCCTTCCAAACATATTATGAAACCAAGACCTAATCCTGGTTTGGAGAGATCTTAAACCTAATTTAGATGTCACGAGAAACTGTGGCTTGATAAAAATAAAATAGCTTTGCTAGAGTTTAATGTACAAAGGGGAGAAGAGGGAATACATTTATCTGACCAGGAACATGATAATGGATGTTATCAGAATCACCCTACTGTTTGCTGCCAAAATTCTTTGCTAACCTTAACATGGCTGTAATGGACTGCTCTTTCCCTACGCACTCCTGCCCTGCAATTGGAACAGATTATTACTACTGAACTGAACTACTCTGTTGCTGACACAAGGCATTAACAGATTCAGTGTAGGCAGTACTACCTACAACATATTTTAACTATGACATATTTGGCACAGCAGAATATGCATCATTCTGCTGACACAATTGTTATGTGTTAAAGTTTAGCATTACTATGCTGGAAGAACATCAAAGATGCCCAGACTTTGTGTGACTGCATATCAGATAGTCACACAAAAGCCAAGATCAAAAAATGTCTGTGCAAGAGCAGAAAGCACTTCCATAGAAAGATAACACTAGCCCCTCGAACCTTCTGTAGACCACTCCAGACATTCTCCTAACCTTTGGATGGCTGAGGCTGGGTGTGAGGAGCAGCATGGAGGTTCACCGCACCTTGGATCGTAGCTAAACTGGACATTATAGTTCCTGTTGCAAACACTGAAGCTCTGCCATCCCACCATGACACTAAACGGCTTCCTTGCATATTTTGAAGGTAGAAAGAGATCTGTTCAGACAGATCTCGCCATAAAATATATGAGACAGAAGACTGGTAAAGTGTCCAAATATAATTGTACCATGGGTGGCAGTAAAATGCTCTCCTCTTCCCAATTCACCACTCCAGTTTATAAAATCCACCTTACACACATGCTCATATAATTTGCTTTTCAGTTTGGGGTTCCTATTTCAACTTCCAGGAAGCCTTTGCTTCAAGGCCATAACTTCTAGGGGTTAACTTTAATTTCCACATCTCTCCAGAGAGAGATCTCCAATATTAAAGGATGGACCATGTGTCACCCTGGCTCAGAGGCACTGTCTTGTTGAAAGAATGTAAAAATTTATCACTGGTCAGACCTTCAAATGTGCATTGACTGAACACCTAGAGAAGAGTGTGACTGCATCTGCTGGTCCCACCTTCAACCAATGCATTTGTAGCAGATGATCTGAAAGGGGCCTTCTTTTGCCACCAGCTTACCATTCTGTTAAATGTATTGCCCATTCGCCCCTCCATTTAGTGACTATGTGCAGAGAGAATGTTTGAAAAGGGCTTTAACAGTATTCTTATGATGTGTTACTTGCACTGAATAGAGTCCATGAAATTGGTGTCCAATTTTGTAAGCCACGTGTGCTTATATATTTCAGGATAATACAAATTTTCCAGACTTAAGTACAGGACTGCTGAACCATTTTCACCCTGAGGGCCAAATTCAGTTTTGGAGAAAATCCCAGAGGTCATATTGCAATGGAGGTGGGCCAAATGCAAAAGGAGAGGGGGAAGAAATACTAAAAATGCCAACCTATTTTATATTTATCTTACTGCCAGTATCTAAACCTTAAGAGAGTCAACTCCCTTTAGAGTAGACAAAAGTTGAAATCATCAAGGCAATCATCAAATGACTGGTGGCTGAAGAAAAGGAAGCAGGAGAAGAGGGTATGGCCACCTGGAGACCCAGGTGGGCCAGATTGGCCATGAAGAGTCAACAAATGGGAACATAAGTGCTATGAAGTTTGACCAACAGTGATGTTGCCTAAAGGAAGTGGCTGGCAAAATCCCTGCAAGAGTCGTATTTCAATACTTATTTTATAGGTACATGTTTTTCATCATATTTAAATGCATTTCTGAGATGTTTACACTGCCATGAATTGTGTCATAAAATTCAGAAAAGTGAAAAATCAGGCCTCTCACAGAGTCTGAATTCCTCAAGTATCTTTCTTCTGACAGGCTGAATTGCTGTCATAAGGAAAAGTGACAGTAGCCACCTTTGAAAGTTTGAAAGCCTGTCGTACACAAGCCTGAATGGAATCCTCTATTATTCCTCCGGTGGGCAAAACTAGAATGGGGGAAAATGCAGGGAAGTAAATCTCAGCCACAGAATAGGAGAAAGCTCCTACTAGGCTTAGCTGTTCAACACTGGAACAGACTTCCTTCCGGAGGTGATGGGTTCTCTTTCACTGGAGTATGAAAGCCAAGGTTCTCAGGGCTACTATAGCAGGATCCTGCCCTGCAAGGACTGTAGGGGAGAGTTGGACTACATGATCTCTATGGTCCATGTTTCATAGAATGTTCAACTTTTAAGGTCTGGAACACCAAGCTGACAGAAAGTCTGCAGTCCAGTTTTACAGGGTCCTGGAATGTGTGTGTGCGCGCACGCGCGTGATGGGGGGGGGGGGGAGAGAGAGAAAAAACTTCACAGAGGTTGGGATAAGCAAAGTAGTGAGATTGAGAATTGGGAACAACCACCAGAAGTCAGGAAAGCTAAAGCATAAGGATGCAGATGCAAGAGGATGAAAACTGAATGCAACATAGGTAACTGAACAAGGGCTGAATTAAGCTGAACCATGCAGCCAAATCTTTGGGTACAGAAATCTAATTTGCTATAGGACACACTGGGCTGGTTTGCATGACATAGCTAGCTCAGCATGGGTTGTTTATTCCATGATGAAGCATGGTGTCTGCCAGGCAATATTTAAATATGCAGTCCTGATTGGAGGTTGCTGTGTCATGCGAATCCAGTTACCAAGGTTATTTGAGGGTTAAATAACCCTGCCACAGAACCCTACAACGGCTATGTGAAGACTGTCTAAGCCTCAAATAACCCTTGCTGGTTGGGTTCACATGACACACCACCCACCATGCAGAGCTACATATTCAAATGCTGCCTGGCATGGACCGCAGTGCATTGTGGGTTAAATAACCCCTGCTGATCCCAGTGTGCTGTGCGAACTGGGTTAATGAGTTTCCATTATTTGCTTCCATCCAGCAGGGACACTGAGTCATCCACATAGTTCCCTCAACTGTACAGGCTGCTTCATTCATATTAATGAAAGCAGCAAATCAAACCACACAAATCTGGTTCCTCTGCTGACATTAATGGGACAACCTGCATGCACAAGAGTTCAATGCACTCAGCAGAGTAACTGTAAATCTTTGGATCAGGCTAATCTGTCTAATCTAAAAGGAGTGAGACTGCACAATTAGTTCTCAGACATTAATGGATATTGTTTTATTGTTTGCTATGGCTGCCCACAATTTTTATTTTGCTTTGCGTTATCTTAGTTGCCTTTTGTGGTGGAAATGGCAAGATAGGCATTCCTAAATTACATAAATTAGTAATTCTTGCCCACTTGATGATATAAGAATCACATCTTTGCATAGTCTGCTCCCTGTTTCCTACATACCAGATGGTCTCAGTTCATTTATTATGCAAAGTGAATTAATTCAGAGACAGTTGAGAAACTGTGAAGGGATAATAATATATATGGGAAAAAATCTTTGCATCTAAAGAACAAAATGGGGTAGATACCAGATAAAGAATTCATTATACTAAAGGAGATTCTTGTAAAAAGAATATGGGGAGGGGAAGGCCATGATGCATTTAACCATATGGGTTGAAAGTACCACTACACATAATAGCATTCACCACTCCAGGTAAGAATAATAAACAACAATTTACTTCTTCCCACAGCCCCCAATATTATGGAGATAAGAAGAGACCAGAAAAAATAACATTCCATTCTAGAGGCACTGCAGAGTTTTCTCATCAACAAACAGATTGATTTTCTTGAACATATTTCATGTCCTCAGTGTTCTTCCAAGGACAGGCATAATGATACTCCACACAAGAATGAATGGAAAAAGTAAGCAAAATTACTTGGTATACAAGAAAGAGAACAATAGAACAAACAAAGAAAACACCTGGGATACGCTGAACAAAATGTAACCATGATGCCAACTGATTCTTAGAAAAGAGGCATATAAAGAGAACACTGAGGTAGCACTTACATTCTCATATTGCTGGTCTTGTTGATAATTACCGATTTTCCAGTCTGATCCACGTTGTGATCCATGCCAAAGTAAGCTGCCACTCTGTGCACCAGCATTCGCTGATACGACGACATCTGGGGGAACTTTTTATAATGATTACTGGAACAAAACGTCAAAGGGCTCAATATGAGGCAGCCTCTGACATGACGGAAAATTAGCAGTCCACTTTTTATTGTCTAATACTAGCTACAGTTAACTCCACTGTCTAATCTGTAATGCTGAAATTGGAGCACCCTGTTGTTCTTTTTTAAAAATAATTTTCTTTAACAAGGCTTCTTCCTTCATCCCAAAATTCAGCATTTAAGTAGTTATTTTATGCAAGCTGTATTGCAGATGAGCATTTAATTTTCCAAACAAGTCACCACAGAAAAAATCAATATTGAAAATACACTTACCTGTTGTCACTAATAAAATCAATTATTTCCTGCTCCATTTTTAACAGTATCATTCTATCTCTGTTAATAAAAAATAAAAAAATCGCTATTCAAATCCGAAAATTAACCATTCTGATGACACCTCTCCACCCTGTCCCATGACAAACAACCCCAATGACTGAGTTCTGTTCATGACTCGCTTATGGATATTGTATCTAACTTCCCAATGAGAGAGTGGGACTAATCTCATTCTCTATTTGCAGAAGGATTTCGGGCTTAATATTCATATTATTGCTTGGAAATAGGAAGGGAGCTGAGTTAGTTGCTGCTGAATGGAATGCATTTCCATAGATCACACATTGTGCCCTGTTTGTGCCTCATCTTCCTTACACAAAATGCTTCACATGGGTTATCTTGTTCTATACTCACTGTCAGTGTCAATCTTCGGAGACAGCTTGACACAAGTGGGAACAAATGCCAGGCTAGAAAACAGGCTTTGCTGCTGGAGGTGTTCAATATGGTTTTTTCATTTTCCACTCCTACAGCAGGGGTACAAAGCATCCCTCCTGCCTCAAGGGCTTTACTGGCCATCCACAGGGTACCTGAACACTGCAGCTCTGCATGCAGGCTTGTTTCATGGGTCTCAGAGGGGTTCACAGTAAAGCATTTCGTGCTAAACACCAGCAATCTGAACAGGCACTGCTGCTTTTCCACTGCTTTTGCTGCCAAGGAAGCAGTGATTAGGGCTACTTCTAGGCTGCTAGGCAGGGGTGAAAGGTTTAGCTTTTTTCAGCTCCCACAAATCTAACTGACATTTCCATGTCACCAACAGCGATGCAAAAAAGAGATCTGTAGGGGAAAGAACACAGCAGCAGGGGGGAAAATGGCGGGGGGGGGGGTACACAATCTGCAGCTGGAGGTTACATGTGATCTATGGGTCATGGCTGTCTACACTTGGCATATGAAGCCCAGGAAGCGCACATCATGGATTGTCAGGGAAAAGGTTTGCTTAGCTTTTGGCAATGGGCACATCAGTTTCATTCTGTTCCAGAACATCTTCTGTCCCCAGATAAACTGACAAAGTAACCTCCCCTTACAGAAGTGGATTGAAAACACTCTGGCAGCTTGAGCACTTGGAATGTTGATGGACATTCTGTGCCAGGAGAACAGCTCAGCCAGAGGCTTTGCTATCTCCTAGTTTCCCTGATGTGGTGCCAGAGAGGATCCACCCTGCCAGCACTGCTGGACTGACCAGATGCTGTGCTCGGCTTTGATTTTTTATCCGATTGTTTGAGCGTGGTGAGCACCCAACCAGGCAAATAGCAGGGGCATTAGGCTTGGGTGTAAGGCTGAGGCAGAGGAGAAGCAGCAAGCGTGCTTTGGACTGGAGAGATGGAGCAGGAGCAGGAGCAAGAAGGAAGGAGCAATTCCAGGCTGCACAGTCATTGCATTCGAGAAACACTGTTTGATCCTTTAGACACGATCTTACAAGCCTGGAGGGTAGGAAGTACCTGAGAACATAATTAAGCTATGGGAAAATAAAAAGCCTATGGAGCGCATGCTGCTATTTAACAGAGGTTTTTAATAAAATCCATATGCTTCCATAGATATTCATCACTTCATAGATACTATATTCCACACCACAATTGCTACATTTTCCAGAACAAATGGAACCTCGCTCCTGGTTTGCTAGGATCTCAAGACACAAAAGAGGTGGCTTACCTAGGATTGTTCTTTAATGTGTTAACCAGAAATTCGTGCAAATCTATTCCTGTTGAGTCTGTGTACTCTTGGCTGCAGTCTGAAAAAATATATATTAGTAATAGTTTCATTTCCAAAGATATAAAACAAAATGAAAAATTGTAAAGGTGCTTTCTTCCAGCCATCTGTTAAGACTGCCTGCTACATGGAGGGTGAAATTTGCATTAACAACTCTACCCTACAGAGCAGTATGAATGCATCCAAACTCACAATTCACTGCACCATCAATGACAAGCAAAAAGAGTAAAACTTAAAAGGAATTGAACATGCTGCACTTTAGAAGAACTCAAGGGATATACAGGTCCACCTAAAGTCTTCCCACCTCTTTCAACTGTACAAATAATACAGTTGAATACAAAATACATAATACAAAAGTACTATATGTATTTATTAATATCCTAAAATTGGACACTTCTATATTTGCTAGAGCAAACTTAAATGATACAAAATTCAAGCAAACGTAGAAAACAACATGGTAATCAGGACTTGTTTCGAAATGTAACTGGATACAGCATTGTCCCTATACCCTACCAGGAAATGTGTTAAATCTGCATTTGACACCAAATTTCACCTACAACAAAGCTTCACAATGACTGTGTGGTTTCAGCTCAGGGAATTATTTCATAAATTTTGAAGAAAGCAGGCATTTTAACAAGAAGACTAGCACAGTTTTCTTGTGGGAGGGGCATTAATCCTTGAATACCCAAAGTCAGTGAAGTATTTTTTTATTCTTTCTAGTTGTTGCTAGATTGATTGACTGTAAAGTATCTATCCTTTTAGCCAATCCATAAAGTCCTCACCCACATGATGCATTTAGATGCAAGCATTACATTAACAGAATGCTTTACAGACTGTAAATCAGGTCCAAACACCTCATGGTACCAAGAGGATGGTCTGAGTAATTAATTCATATCCCTTAACACACCGGGAAGCAGTAAGGTGTGCTAACATGTGGCACATATAATATGTACAGACAATTAAGGTGTGTGTTAACTTAAAACTACTGCCAAGGTATACTTTTCTGATACAAAAGGAAAAATGGTTCAGTTACATGACAGATGATGTATGCACAGCAAGACATGAATGCTATAACAGGTTTCTGAATGTAGATCTCAATCAACAGATATGGAAAAGCTTTCAGGAGCAGGCAAGAATCCTCTGCCACATGGCGACTCTGGTTGTATGCAAAGAGCTAGAAATCCCATTCCACTCTCTTCTCCTTACGGGGGAGACATCTTTCTTCCCAACCACTTTATTAGATTATTAGATTTTCATGGATATATAGATGAGAGTGAAAACAGAGAAATGGGATTTAATATGCACTGGCCACTAGTGATTAGTATAGCACAATTGGGCTTCAGTTCTTGCATCCTTTCCCATGATCTGTGGGATCTTGAAGATCATATACAAACGCTGCACAGGCAGACACACACAAATATGCTGTCCCAGGGGTGGGGGAGAGGAGCCTGAAATACAGAAATGGGCTTGAGAAATGACCTTGGGGATTATACCGAGTGAGCTGTCTACAGCAGGTCTCTCATCCATACTTTTCAGTCTCTTCTTGCCTGTACCCTCACCCTCACCATGACTTTCCTCTGTATAAGAAGATGCTAACAATTGCATCAAGATTCTTAATGGGATACTCCAGGTCATGTCTTATTTCTTCTCTAGGAATTTCAGGTGCAAGTAATACGAGAACAAGTCTGCCAAAGCAGAATTGTTACACTTCCTCCACGTAATTATGGATACCAATTATATGAGTATTTGCCAGGTCACCACTATTTGTGAGCTACAAAACTAAATGGAGCCCACTAGTCACATACTCTGGCTTGGGTGGGTCTTTGTATTCTCAGGCAGCCTTCCATGCATAGCTGGAAAGCTACATTTAAATATGTGGAATACAAATACAATAGGGTTGTCATAGAGTGAATATGCATGTATTCCACAAACAGTATGCAAGCAAATACACATAATACAATCCACAAACACATACGAAATATCAAATATATGCACAAAACAAATCTAATACACATATTAGCAAATATCCAAAATGCCTTCATATGTGACTTTGATAAATGACTAAATAATCACTTAAACAATTTTGTTCACCTTTTGATAACATTCTTATCTTGGACTTTTCACTGTTTCTATCTTTTTCTTTGTTTTTATCCTTCTCTTTTTCTTTCTCAGAGTCATCTTTACTAGATTTATCCTCTTCTTGTAGGCTGGGGAAGGTTGAAAGCTGTAGCTGTATTGATTCCTGTTGAAAAAAATATAATAATTTAGGGCCAGATTCAGGAAACTTGGCATGGCTTCCAAAATGCATAATGAAGTGCATGCTTAAAGAAGCTGAAGCCAAACAGTATTTGGTATACTCAATATTAGGAAAATAATACTGTACTCTTATGGACAAATTTTGCTTTGTGATATGTATTTTGGATGATACCACTGAAGCTCAGCATTTAGTCTTGAAAAGATATGCATTTTATTTTAACTGATTTGTTCCAGATTTAAACATAATTTCCCTGCAATTTGACCCACTTGTGGGGGACTTTAACATAAAAGCACCTCTCAAAATGTAGGACTCACAGCTGAAACCTTAATGATGAAATTCCAAGCTGCCAAATGAATTATTCTACTAAAATAAAGAAAATGCATTTCAAATTAACTGCACTGAAAATAGAGGCATGTCAGCCAAAGAAAACTTGCTTAGCCTAAAAAAATTGTGCTTAGCCTAAAAAATGTGGGACTTGCTTTTATGAAAGTCCGGTCAGGATTAGGAAGTTAGAATGTGATGCTGTTCAACGGTATTAGTTAACTTTATGTTTTATATTATACAATATAAATATTACTCCATGTGTTCTTTCAGCAAAAACTTGTTTGCATCTAAAAGAGATGCCAGAAAAACACAAATGGGATTGTTGCCATGTTAAGCCTAACTTTATCAATTAAAATATAAATTCATTTAAAGATGTCTAAAATAGAACATGCATACTTGCACTCTGATTCTTTTCTGAGACATCTATTTGACATTCTACTAAGTGTGCCTAGAAATAGAGCTTTAGAAGTCCATGCTAATTATACTGCCTTATTAACAGTGCTTGGAGACTTGATTTAAGAAGTGCTAACACATGAATAACTCAAAGGTCCACACTTTCTATAAATATATGTATTGTTTGCATGGGGGAGGGGTTCTGATAATTTTAACACAGATCACAAGTTGCTAGTTCCTTTAGCTAAGATTATTAAATATACCTGAAAGTGAAGTCCTTGGATAAGATTTTATAGAATCAGAATGCCAGTGATAGGGGTGTGGGCAAGGAGCCTGTTAAACATATTCATTGCCTGCATGTGAATGCAACCCAATGCACAGTTACAGATCCCTGAACCTCACCCATATCACTGGGACTTGTTAGCTTTCAGCTCATGTTCCACAAGCTGCAGTCAATCGACTTAACATTAGTGGGGAAAATATGCTGTGAAAATGCCTTATTTATCACTGGTAAGGCCTGAGTCACTTGTCAATTCCCTCCAAATACTCTGGCTTGCTGGTAGAAATGCACCTGCGCCAATCAAACAGGGAAAGCAATTGGCTCTGCCACTTTCAGTCTTTTATCCTGTAGTTAAAGTGACTTATGATGCACTTGCATTTTTACAGATGGAAGGAAAGACAGACTTTACATACAGTCTAAAACAGACACAGAGGCATACATCAGATAGTTTGTGCCATACATATAACATACCATTTCTATGTATTAATTGGATTTGAAAGAAATACACACAGAAGTGCTGCAGAGGCGTAAAAACAATCTATTGTTTGTTTCTTATATTCAATTTTTATTGATTTTTTTCTCAATAGTAAAATTACAACGTTGATAAGTACATTCATACAGGTTAAGTGTAGCGAACAACAGAAGATGTTCCATTTGTAATAATACACCGATAAACCAATATTATAACATTAGAGGCAACATTCCTTTAGAGTAAGGACAGAGTGAGTGATCAGGTAAGCTTTCATGATCAAGTAATACAGGTAACAAGATTTTTCCTACACAGGAAAATCAAGGCAAATTTTCGAATATAATACAAATATAAGATTTGTAGTACAATCCATACTCTGCAGTACTGGCACTGTACCATACATTCTCTGATAATTTAGACCCTGTGCTTTGTAAACAGCTAAGATAAACAAATAAAATCCAAATTAACTTTTATTTAAAAGTAAACAATATTGATTGGCCCAATTCTTGCCATATCCTTCAGTCAGTTCAAAGAGGAAAGCATAAGCCTAGCTCTCCTAGTGCAAATTTAATCAGCATGTAAATCAAGAATACTTGTCATCTGATTTATTATATGATGTCAACCATCCTCAAGAAGAAGGGTTTGGTGGCCGGAAAACATTTTAATCCCTGGACACTTTACATTATGGCCCAAGAATTCTCCCCAGCAGTGGGACAAGCTGTGGCAGGGATCACGAGAAATGTGAACCAGAGCCCTTCTCTGTTCAGGCAGCAGGGGCGTTTAGCAGAGGTATTTAGCTCCAAACCTGCTAGTCTCCACGGAGGATAACATTCTTTTTTAATCTTGCAGAGAGTACATCAGAAGCTACCATGCAACATTTAATACAATCTGGTATATTTATACTATTTTTCCTTTCAGTCTCCATTTGAAATGATAGAAAACACAAAGAAAATGTGGAACAAAAGCCACAAATTTCTAATAATGCAAGTTGAATCAAAGTTTAGGGCTTTTTCTTTCAAAATATCTACTCACAACTGGTAAAATAATATATCTATTTTTCTACTGCATAAATGTCATTGTAAAGCAGCAAGGGAAGGTACAAACCCCCCATAACTCAATAAGATAAGGGGTGGTGGGTTTTTTTGGTCTTTCAAAAAATAAAATAAAACTCTCCATATTAAAGAGTCCAAAGAGGAGAGTTTGGTTTGTTTCATTTCAAGTTAATAGAGGCAAGTTTTAGAAAGTACACTTAAATGTGGTATTTGTTTTGTGCTAACAAAAGTTCATCTTCCATTCTCTATCACCTTTTCCTCTCTATGGCTGATCTCATTCTTCAAATAATATCTGAGTCTTCAAGTAAGAAGTACTGGCAGGACCTTTGCTTTTTTCCTTTTTTGGTTTTTTGGTTTGTATTCTTGTTAAATGTGCTTTTTTAAGCGATGGAAAGAAAGTGTAAGCCTTTTTTCAAAAAGTGCTGAAGGAAAACTGTGCAGAATTCAGAAATCTGTTAGATCAAAATTTCTTGATTTAGTCCATATATGTATATATGTATTCTATAACATATTTCTTTGGAATAAATGGTATACAATAGCAATACAGACTTATTCAAATACACGCTTTGCAATATTGGTAAAGTGGCACCAAGAATCAGAAAAATGAATCATACGGAGTACAATGCATTTACTTCTGGATCTCTACGACCTACAGGGTCAAGAAATCTGCTGTTAATGTGAAAGAGGTTCAAGGCCATTGATTCTTGGACCTTGCATGACTTAGAAGCCAAAGAAGACTCAATACTATGCCTGGTGTAGTCTTAAAAGAGATAGCCTTAGAGAAAATAACAATTCTAACTTTTTTGTTTGTGTTTTAAAAATAATTAATCTGAATTCTTTTGAATTCTTTTCCATTTGTTGAAATTTTCAGGGGCTCTGGAAAAAAAGAGAGCAAATAATACCCTGTAACATACTGTTGAGCTACTCATTTATTTCAAAATAAGTACACTCTAAAAACCAGACAACTTCAAGAAAATCAAGTACACTCTTGTGAAATCTTGGTCACCCAATACCAAGAAATTCCTTTAAAGCCCAAATATACAATTGTCATCATGCACACAAAAGGGAAGTTAACCATGCAGCTGATGGCAACAATTTTAGATACCTGATTGTCATTCTCTGATTCCAGACGAGGGCATGATTCTTCGCATACAGCGAGGCTTCGTACAAGTTTTCCCTTCCCTCCTGGCTGAAATACAGAGGGAAAAGGAAATCACTTTTGGACAGTGGCAGGGATACATGCTCAACCCTTTTACACTATGTATCAAATAGATAAAAATTGCCTTCACAGCACAAAAACCCTTTACTGACACACAGGTGTGTGCCACCAGGTAGCTATTGGGACAGTGGAAGGGAACACAGGCATAGGAAAGGCAGAAAATAATGTATTTCCTGTTCATTTCATTTGCTTTAATATAAAACAAAAATGGCAAGGCAAATAATAATGATAGCTATGACTCATCACACTTAATTTTAACTAGTTTGGATACACTGGATAAAATAAAATGTGCTAAAGTTTGGGGGTTTTAACAAGAATTTCTTCGTAATCTTGTTTCATCTTTCAGCTTGCCTGCTTTTCTAAGATATGGAAACTATATGTCCATATAGATAAAGTTTATCTGGAATAGGAAAAGAAAGCAGGTGGCATAAGCCAGAAACATAATCACATGAAAATACAAGCCGTTTGGACTGCAGCAGAAATATTATAGTGGAAATAACTTATAACCCAGGAAAGTTCACTGATCTTAGGGCACATAACTAACTGTAGCTTGAGTGGAAAAATAAGAATAAGCTTCCCTAATCAGCCACATGCATGCAAATTTCCATTCCAAGACAGTTTATCATGGCTTTTGAGAAACAGACACAACGCTACCTTGGATCTCTTTTTCTGCTGGTTCTGGTTAGCCCCTCGTTTCTGTGAACAGCAAGCAACAAATTATGCATGGATATGGCTGGAAAATATGCATAACGTGAACAACAGCACTTCATTAAATCATTCATGAAGTACCAGTTCCATGTGGTGAGTGTCAAATAATGTGCCAACTTGTAGACCTATGCATGAGTCCATAAGGTTAATCTCATTGATTCTAGCAAGCTACAATTGTGTCAATCTTTAAACCTTAATTTTAAAAAGACAAGACTAATGAAAGCCTCTGAATCCCCTGATTCTATCCTTTTTTCTAAATAAGCTGATATTTCAGTAGTGTTATTACAAATATGAAGCTAGAGATAACAAACATTACTGAAACAGTTGTACTGAGAGATCTCTTCTTTCCCTACATCCCCCACAACCCAAGTTTGCTTCTTAGGGTTTTCTTGCATTTTCTTTTCCCTCTCTGAGTACATCCAAATTTATCTGGTATATATTTAGTTGCAGCATGCTCCACAGATTTTCAGTGTCACTATATTATTTATTATGTGAGTATATATGCTGTTTTTTCTCAGAATGAACAGGTAAACCAAAGATATGAACAAACATGTATTCAAAACTTCCATCAGGGATTGCTGGGGGCAGGGGAGAGACAGCTGAATGTCTTTCATCTACTTAAATAAAAGATCTAATGAAACAAAGGGGTGAGAAAATAGGGGGGTTATGAACAGAAAAGTCACTCTTGTTCTTACCTGGTCTGATTTGCCATTTTCCTCTTTATCATCTGCCTCTGAGCATTCAGTTGTATTAAGGATGCAATTTTCTTGCTGAGAGATGGCTGAGTCTTGCTCATTTCCAGCTTCTTCTGCTTTACCTTGCTCAGACATTCTTCCAAGTAGAAATTAAAAGAACAGGATTCAACGACCTGGAAGGTCAAGATATTAAAAAACACAAGAGTAGGTGTAAGATGCTAGTTTATTCATGTGAAACTTATTTTTACTTCCTTCATGATGGAAAAAAAAAACATATTACAGTAGAACGTTCAAGCACTGGGGTGATACAGTTCAGCAGACAATACTGGACAGAAGCATTCTAGGTAAACGTTAAGAAAGCAGCTTGATTCCAACTACTCATAAAAAGATAATACAAAATCTGATGTATTGCAGTCCTTATCTCACCCTTTTCATTCCATAGATGAAGAAGTAGGGTTGGGCAGGAATTCATTTGCCAGCAAAAAATGAATATTAACTCATTCATGCTTTTAGCAGGTTGGACCTTCCACTAGAATGCCAATCTGTTGCTTGCTTAAATAAATAAATAAATAAATAAATAAATAAATAAATAAATAAATAACGCAACTCATACACTTCTATCAGTTGATCATCCCGCCAGGCACAAATAACATTACAACATTCTTTATAGGAAATGAAGAAATGCATTCAGTTGAAGTTGATTTCAAGGTAAAAACTGATTCAAAATTTGGCGATAAAACCCTCATATTAATAACTTCTAGGCATAAAACTGATGACTCTATTATAAAAATCATAAGCCTCTTCCAAACCCTATGTCACTTTCCAGCATGCTGGAAATCCTTCTAGAAGCCCTTTGCAAAGCAGTTCTAATAAAGATATCTTAACTGCATGGTACTGCTCTCGGCTCACAATAGTCAGTTGTACAGGAAACTCAAAATGGCTTTTCAAAGTTAAAGCCTATTATTACTCCCCCCTCCTCGACTCATAAAATACTCATTTGACACCTCCCTACTGATCAGTTGTCAAATGTATCTCATGAATAATTTAGTACTACTTGTACTCTGCTCCCTGCCTTTTTTTAGGAGACTCATCTTAAGAAAAATAAGTGCAGTGGAGAAGAGGAGTTATTTCAAAACAGATTTCAGTATTTGCCCTTCTCACAATTTAATAATGGTTATTAGATAAATCTACACTTCATCACGTTTGTCTTACAGGTTACAATTATCACAGAAGAGATATTTTAATGTCCACTTTCTTTGTTTATGTCAAAGGAAAATATCAAGTACGTTGAGTTTTTAAAAATATTTCTGAAAAGTGGATGTACGTTTTCAATGCAGCATTTGCTTTCATAGCTTAACAGAGTGATCAAAGAAGATCCTGTTCCATAATTAAATTTTCAAATGGAACTCATTTTGCAAATAAATGGGAGTAGTAAGAACAATGATGTTCTTTTAAAATGAACATATTCTGTATTTCTTTGCTTGTGGAACTGGGGCAAAAGTTGCATGATTTAAAAAGAAGAAACAACCAGATAATTGTCTAGGATATTCTGTTATAACATCAAGTTGTTTCATGTTCTTTCACACTATTTCTATTCCTACAGTTATGCTTCTATTTGAAAGGTATTTGCACTTGAAATCAATACATTCTTTTTTCATAGATTCAAATATAATGACCATACATTCCGTTGCCTGAATTTTAACCCTTAATGCTATTGTTTGGCAACTACTGAAGCAGCGGATGTACATCCAACTGACCTGATGTGGACATAGGAGCACGGTGAGAACCCACAAAAATTAAACCTTTTCCAGCCCTTAGGCAAGTAACAACGAAAATGTTTACCTTCAGTGCTGTGTTAATTCTTGACGCCCTTCTAGCAGTTTCTGCTGCTCCTCACTGGTTAAATCCACACAAGTGATCAATGACAATGTGTGTCCCATGACCCCATTAGCAGTGCAGAGTGCCAATCTCCATGCTGTTCCTTTAGTGAGCTTGAGAGACCGTCAACATCACCATCATGATCATCATCATCATCAACCTGGTGGGGAGGGGGAAAAAGACAAAAAGTAAATACCAATCATAATGGTTATAATCATGGTAGGGTTAAAAGATAAAATAAATAGAGACCAGATTTCTAACACTAATGACCAGCTTCAAGCAAATCACTTTCACAGCTTGATCCAGCTCCACCTGTCTCAAAAACTGTGTGCTTCTTCTCTAATGAAGGCTCGAGCCGGCTGTTCAAGTCATAACAGCTCCTACGCATAGAGCTAAAATTAACAATTGCATATTCTGTGCTGAAGATTACTCACTTCAGTTTTAACCTTTTTAGTGAATTCTAGCACTTTGCATTAAAAAAGGCTCATCTGTTTGCCTCAATGGGAATCAATATTGTTGCTAAAGAAGGGGTGTGGAGGGGAGAAGTCTGCTCTGTAACCAAAGCTTCAATCTCAATTTTGAGAATACTATTTTTTTCTTTTAAAAAGTGACCTTGGTACCAGGTATAAATGAGCTGATTTAATAAAGAAGAGCCATCAAAATTGCTAGGAGAGAGTTAGCATCTTGAGCAATAGAAATTAGGGGAGAAATTAGAATAATGTGGGATGTGAAGGGAATAAAAGATAGCTTAGGGAGACAGAAGGCACCACTGCTTCAAAACCACATCACACTATGTTTAAAGTGAATGTTGTTACCAGATGGGCATTTGGTTAAAAGGAAAATGAGAGGTTAAAAGGAAAATAGGAAAATTTCAAAGTATTGAAAAATCATGATTTTCTCTTAGAGAGACAACGGATGAATAATCTGACAACTCCGTCACTGAAACTTCCACGAAATCCATAAGAACACAGATACCAGGCACTAGCTTATATAAATGTACAACAAATTCTAATGTGCAATGGGATTAACCTGTTATCAGTGGGAACCAGGGTAAGATCCGTGGATTCTGTTGCACAGAAAACCCAGCAAATAATTTCAACAATTATTTCAATAAATGTAACAGAGAAGAGAAGGGGTTTTGGGTTTACAGTGCATGCACACGTTCTAATTCTCTAGCAAATCCTCACTATACATTTCAGAATATGATTACTAGGAGCTACATGTGTTTCTCTAAAGTTCTGCTGATTTATATGCAACAATACAAATGCTATATTCCTTCTTGAAGCTTAATTTTAGCTGAAATTTATTAGGGGCAATGTGGTACCTGTCCTCTGAGAAAATATATGCAATGGAGTACAAGCCATAGGAGTGGGCAAAATGGTTCAAGCGTAAACCAATTACATGCAGATTAACAGTCTCAATACCAGTTATAGTTCCCCACCAAAAATTTACCCAAACAGCAAGAAAAAGAATTGCATTCTCTCTAAACACCAAAGAAAACAAAATAAAATCCAAATTGCATCTTAATTTATTTATGACATCACAAAAAGAAATCAACAGGTTTCCACTCCGACCCAGATGGGGGGGGGGGGTTAACAGCCTCACCATCAGTTTGCCAACCAATCCCACGTGTAAGTCTTTTTAAGTGTGATAACGGCAGCTTTAAACAACTGCAAACATTCAGACAAGGTTGTAGAAACCTAAAGAAACAACCTGTTTCGCTAGAAATAAGGTAATCAAAATTAGGCAGTCAGACTCATGTTAAGTCAAACTTATATTAGGTCTCACAACTAGGACACACATGGAGTACCACTTTGTCAGCTGATTGTGCAAATGTCTGAATTTGTAACTTGCTCAACAGCAAATAAAATCTTGAGATGTTGCAAACACTTTATTCTTGTTATCCAGGTATACACATCAGTGCAACTACATGAAAATGCTCAGGTAACTGGTCATTCATGTTTATCCCATCCAGGCTTACCCAAGATTTTAAAATCCCTGACACACTGGATTCTGTCATTACTTTTTTGGGAGCAGCATTCAGAAGTTTTTGTTGTAGTTGTTAAAAATAAAAAAGAACATAAAACTATCTTTCAGCTTGCATTTTAGCTCTTTGCTGGCAGAAGAAACTGATTCCTCAGTGAGTCCTCAAGATTTATATATGGTCATGCACATATGTACATGTTTAAACAGTTTCTCATGCTACTGACCAAAGAATTAGGGTTCTAGCTAAGCATCATTCTGCCAGCACAAATGACATTGTGTTAGTGCAGGGGTGACCAGTACTTTACTTGTGGGTCAAATGTGACCCTAGTGCCCCTGCTTTTTCTAACATAGATAGCAGAGTGGATAAAAATAATTTTAATTTAAAGAATCCTATATTTAATAATTGAGTTCTCTGATTTAAACAGTATTTTTAAAATAAAACACTTTAAGGAAAATCTATCTACAGATAGTTTTTTATTTAAGATACATTACAGTCTAAAGGTTATTCATCATTAAATATGTATTGGTTTTTAATTATGTAGCATGAGATTGTATATTTATTCAATGGTTAAATTTTTTGGTATATGGATTCCATTAATTCATTTACTATGTCATGCTCGTCCAGAGGTTTCAGTAAGATTATTGGGCTATTTTTCTGTCTAGAAGATATTATTTATTTATTTTTATTTATTTATTTAGGAGACTTCTATGCCGCCCCATTCACCGAAGCCTCGGGGCGGCTCACATCCATAAATAAACTTCCATAGAATAATATAAATTAACAGTATAAATTAAGTCGCCCTGGCCAAAGAATAAAATGAATAAATACTATTAACAATTAAAATGACATTTGAAAAAAATCACAGTTTTATCATCCTCAAAACTGTGAATATGTGTCTGCAGAGATCACATGCCTCTTCCTCACAGCAACAATGTTATAAAATAAACAGACAAACAGGAACAATAATCCGATTGTTCCTTTGCAAATCTATGTACTCTCTTAAGTGTGACTCTTCAAATAATTCAATGAATAGAAGATTGTTGGGAGTGGAATAGATCTGCACAAGAAACTAAGTGGGAGGAGGGAGGGACAAGCAGTAAAAATGCAAGTGAAACCCTTTTAGCAGAATACTCCACAAGCTTTTGGATCTTTTTGTGTACAGCCTGAGGCTTATTCTTTCCCTGGAGAAGAAAATTTATAATGGCAGCAGGTCATAAAAAAGACCCAGTTTAGGAATATTTTAATGAAGTTCCTTACCTACCGGTAAGGAAGGCATGCATATAAATTATGTAGAAAACTTAGTCTTACTGACCAGTGATGTAAATTGTAATTTAAATCAATGTGATTTAAATCAAATCTGCCCTGGTAGAAAGTCCCCACCAAATGATTTACTATCAAAATTCAGTAGCAAACACTTATGAAGGCATCACGTGACAATGAAGACTGTCTGTTTCAAGCTTCCACAGTAGCAACTGCAATTTTTCCCCCCTACCTTTTTTGCAGTAGTGTGGGAATTGAAGCCTGAAACAGGGTGGGGCTTGATCTCTACCCTGCCTGAAGTTGTCCACCCCTGCATGAGTGCAAAGTCAGTTCCAAACTATGTAAACCATGTGCAAGAAGAAACTCATGCTAAAGTTCTGCTAGTGCACTTGCTAGCGCAGTTATTTTTGTAACCACTTATATAACCACATGCCTGTCCTAGGTTTCTAAAGTGGTTCGCTAGCACTTGCGCATTTTGAAAAGGCAGTAGCACTTCACCAGCACCGCAATTTCTCCACTAACAGTGCACTGCATTTAGGTGCTAGTCCTCCATACACCCACATACACACACATACAATCTCCTTTCCAATAGTACCAATGTTTGCATGACCACAATAAACACTAACATCAATCCTCATTTTTTCGCAGAACAACCTTTCATCCTCAAGAGTAAAAAATTACATAAGTGCACGAGTGATATACATTGCAGCACTGCTGTTGAAACCCACTGAGAGCTTCCAAGAATCCAGCGCCCCGCCAGGCTGCTGCTGGCAGGACAAGAAGGCGCATCAGAGGCAATTTTCACTTTTCCATCCTCCATTTTCAAAAGCTTCATCCCGACAGGCCTTCGAACCCAACAAGACAAAGTGCACTGTCAGGTGCAGGGTCAAAGCTGGGCAGGCCATATCGTGATCTCCCCTCTCCTCTCCACTTCCTTCCATTCCTGTGCACTGGTATGACCCCCTTTGCCAGGCTCATTAAGAGAGTCGGTGAGGTTCTTTCCATGGTGGCTACATGGGGGTGTGGGTGGGGGACTCGTACCAAAGAGCCTTCCCCCTGAGGTCAGTGGTGTCTATGACTTCACATGGGGACTCAGAGCAATCCTATGCTGCTCTCCTGGGGTCCACAGGATTGCTTTCTCAAGTGAACAGAAACCAGGAGGTAATTTTCCATTTCTAGGTCAGGACCCAGATGTCTTCTCACAACCAACACTTCTGTTTTCACAGGTTGCACATCATCACACTTTCACTAAGAAAATGCCATCCTTTCCCTACCTAGCAGTTTATCTTCACTTTGCCATTCCTGGGAATACACAAAAGCATCCCATGAGCTTTGAGACTTAACCACAAGTGCAGCCCACTCAGCCAAATGAGCAGAAGGGCTCTCAAAGACTGGCACACCACATTTTAAAGTAACAGAAATTATACACATTGCTGTGTAAAGAGAGCACCCCCCTTGAAAAACCATTAAGTCCAGAGTCTAAAATTACCTACCTTACTTCAGTTGGAAGTAAATTCCACTGAAAATCAACAGCAGTTTCATATAAAGTAATGCATTTCAGATCAAGATTATTAGGTTGTGTTATGAAAACTAAATGACAAGACATGCTGCTAATTTCCATTAAAATGTATTCTTGAGCCAATTCAGCCTCAATTCCAATTTTTATATTGGCACGACCTAAAGCTAACCATATTTCTGAACCTCAGTTATGGTTCAAGTACCTGTAAACTTACATCTGTGTTATTTCTGAAAACCTGGAATCTGTGGTCTAGTTGGCAAATCATGACAATCCAGTCTTTCTTTTCTTCTCCTCCTTCTGCCCCCCCCTTTTTTTGGAAAAGGCTCTTCAATTCATATATCCCACCCATCAGTTCCTATATCCTCTTGCAGACACCAACTCTCTTCCTGATGGA